CAGGTGAGGGGGTGACTTCCAAAGCGAATGCTTTCTCTTTCAAACTCTCAGTGCGGCAGCACTGCAGCAGCTGCTCTATCAGCGCACCCATCTTGAGGCGTGAGTGCAGTGTATAGTCTCTCTTCAAGGCCCGGTTGTACTGCTCGACGGGATTATTAGTCGTGGCGAAGCCTGGTTGGGTGTGGAACACTTGCCAGCGATGAAACCTGCTGTCCAGCCACTGCTTCTTGAAGTAAGCAGTAAACGTCGTGAGCCTGGTGTCTCCCTCCCAGTCGGACAAAAGCTTCGTCTTCTTCTCAGTATACGCGCCCGCAGTAGCAGTAAAGTGCAGGTCAGCGATGTCGCGCATTACACGGGCAGCAAGCAAAGGCTCAAGTGCACGAGTCTTTTCGTGAACCTTTGCCAACACGTGGAAGTAACACATCAAGCCAACAGGCTTGGCTCCATCGATAGAGGAGGCAAGAACTTCATCGATGCCGTTCAGCTGAGCTTCGTCTGCATCGACCATGACGAAACGAGGGGCTAGATCATGCCCGGTCACGGATCGAAATACTCGCTTCAGCGCCGACAAAGCTTCAACGTATTGAACCTTTGTCCGCTGCGACGAGATGAACACGGCCAGGAGATGAAACGTTCTCATGCAGTCAGATATTCCGACAACGATGACAGGGTAGTTGACCTGATTGAGCTTGAATGTAGCATCAACGTGTAGCACATAAGCTGCCGGATCTTGATCACATCGCTGCAGCAATTTCTTAGATGACAGCCCCACAACAAACGAATCCATGTCGGTGCCAGTACCTACAACCGGACGGCCATCACCATCCGTTTTCCATGTGAAAGTAAAGCCTTCATTTAATTCTTCTTGGCCCGTGAAGCCCCTCTCGCGCACGAAGCTCGAGACATCATCCCAGAAGTCGCTGCCGCCTAGGTGGGCAGCGCGATAATGGTGAACAAATCGCTGCACTACTGCAAGAGATGGCAAGCTGTTCTGGCTAAGGTTGAAACGGCGGAGAAGCGCGTTTCGAATCCGGATAGGGCGGTGGTGGTGAGCCGCCATTTCCCTGGCAACCACCTTCATTGGCTCTGTCAGCCGAATACGCCTCTCAGGCTGGCGGCGACTTGCATGAGTTCCAGCCTCCCACACAGTCACGATGTCCAGCACACAACACTGCTGCGTTTTCCCTCTCCACGTGCATTGAGTGTACGGGACATCGTTGGCGCACGCCTCGCAGGAGCAGCGTAGCAGCCGCACCCTCATGTTGTGCGGTTCTGGAACCGCACACAAAGTGCATGGATCAACATCGCTCTTCATGACAGCAGTAGCTTTAAACGTGTCGAGCAGTAGGTTGGCGTCGTTGAGGGACAGGCTTTGGGCAAGGAGCATCCAGTCTAGTCGGCGAGGCATTCTTGGTGAGCAGGCGCGTGAGGGCTTGGTTGGGGTGCTCGTAAGCTTTATAGGAACTGAGTAGAAAGCCACGTGGTTAGATGTGGTGAATCCTATCGTGGTTCTAGAATGATTGGCTGTGGGCACGTGGAAATTTAGGTGAAGCTGTCACTAGTTTAAGTGCAAATCTACAAGTTACGGTGCTGTTAGTATTGTTTGTATGCAATTCGTAGATTTTGGTTAGATTTGATACGTTGTCCGACCTGGCCACCTGGTAGTTAATGCTGTGACTTGGAGGGGAAATGCAGTGTCGCTTTAATTGAACAGACTCTAGTTTATGTGAGGTAAAATTCTATCGGAAAATTTGGTCAAAGCACTCTATTCTGGTGATGCACTTTCAGCAGTCAGTAATATGCTGTTGCACTTGAAGTAAGATAATATTCTGTCTTAGAATAGGCGAAATATGCATACTGCGTAGTACAAAAAAGACCGGAAGGAGCGAAGATTTTTTTGCACGTAAAAGTCTTCTCCCAGTCTATAAAAACGCGAAACCTGTAAAAAAAAGCGAGTGAAGGGGTAAAAGAACTCTGTGTAACGTGATATTATCTGAAAGTTGCTTGTGTTGCAAGCAACTTTCTTAAAACGAATTAATCGCGTAGGGGGGGATTGTCCATACAGGTAGATGAATAACCTGTGTCTTCTTACTTTTTTTTTACCACAGGATGA